ACCCTGAGACAGATAGAGAGACCAGTGAGAGACCACCCCCTGCGCACCCTCTCTGGTGTCGAGAAAGTGCCACGCCTGCCACGCCCCGCGACCCTGAGACGGATAGAGAGACCAGTGAGAGACCACCCCCTGCGCACCCTCTCTGGTGTCGAGAAAGTGCCACGCCTGCCACGCCCTGCGACCCTGAGACGGATAGAGCCAGTGAGAACCACCCCCTGCGCACCCTCTCTGGTGTCGAGAAAGTGCCACGCCTGCCACGCCCGCGACCCTGAGACGCATAGACGACGCAGTGAGAGACCACCCCTGCGCACCCTCTCTGGTGTCTGCCACGCCTGCCACGCCCCGCGACCCTGAGACGGATAGAGAGACCAGTGCGCACCCTCTCTGGCGTCGAGAAAGTGCCACGCCTGCCACGCCCCGCGACCCTGAGACGGATAGAGAGACCAGTGAGAGACCACCCCCTGCGCACCCTCTCTGGTGTCGAGAAAGTGCCACGCCTGCCACGCCCCGCGACCCTGACACGGATAGAAAGACCAGTGAGAGACAACCCCCTGCGCACCCTCTCTGGCGTCGAGGAAGTGCCACGCCTGCCACGCCCCGCGACCCTGAGACGGATAGAGAACCGCGGTGAGAGACTACCCCCTGCACGTCTGTGTGCTGTTTGTTTGTTTGCTGCGTGTGCGTGCTGTGTCTGTTTGTGTTGGTATTGTGTACGGGTGCTGTTTGTGTGCTGTGTGTGTCTGCGTGCTGCGTGTATGGTGGATGTATGTGATGACTGTGATGTCGACTGTAGATGTGTGTCTGCTGTGTGCTCATGTGTCTGCTTGTGCTGATGTGGGGAACCAGAAAAAAGAGAGAGGGAATCATCACACCAGCCCCTGGATGTGTGGAGGGAAGAGGGAAGGAGGGGTGAGGAGGAAGAGGAGAAACGCGGGTGCGACGCGGCAGGGAAAGAAAACCATAACCCCACTATGCATGCGGGGAACAATACAGCGTTGCCGTTTTTCCTTTCATCATGGCCTGTCTTGTCGTCGACGATGCGAAATGCGTGGCAGGAATGGGGCGCGGCGCACATCGCGCGCGGACTTCTGGGGCAACCCCAAGGCGGGAGGGGCCACCTTACTTGTCAGAAGCAATGCCATGCTGATTTTCCCTGCCCACATAGCTGTTCCAGTCGCCCACCCCTCAAAAGTGCATGGCAAGAATTGGGCGCGGCACACCCCCCTCCCCCCCCGCTCGAAGTGAACGAAATGACCTTCTCGCTTTGGCGCCGAGCAAAATTGTCTCAAAGTTGCGCTCCCGCTTTGGCTCGGGGCACGTTTTCAGCTCGCCAATTCATTGGGCGCCGGGGCGTTCCAGGAGGCCCTGGGGTGACGAATGCCTGGGAGGTTTTTTGTTGTTCAGGCTCTTGAAGGGCCTCCTGAGGCTCCCCGCGGCTTCTTGGTGCTACGGCCGTCTGGAGGCCATCTTGGGCGTCTTGGAACGATCTTTCGGCGACTCAGGGCTACTACTACCACTACTACTACTACTACTACTACTACTACTACTACTACTACTGCTACTACTACTACGACGACTACGACGACTACGACGACTACTACTACTACTACGACCGACTACGACGACTACGACGACTACTACTACTACTACGGAATACTAGACTACGACTACGATCTACTACGGACTACGACTACGACCTACGACTTTACGACTACGGACTAACGACTACGACTACGGGGACTACTACTTACTACTACTACCGCTACTACTACCGCTACTACTACTACTGGTACTTTTTTTGTATATAGTATAGTAGTTTGGGTAGTACCAGTTCTATTATTACTACTATCTACTACTACTACTACTACTACGACGACTTACTTACTAGACTACTTCTACTACTACTGCTGGCTATGCTACAAACTATTCTAATATTACTACTACTTCTACTACTACTACTAACTACTCGTAGTGTCCTACTGCTACTATAGTACTATACTTACTACTACTTGACTCTACTACTTACTACTACTTACTACTACTTGCTACTACTTGCTACTACTTGCTACTACGTACTACTACTTACTTCTACCTACTACTATTTACTACTACTTACTACTACTTACTACTACTTACTACTACTTACTACTACTTACTACTACTTACTACTACTTACTACTACTTACTACGACTTACTAATACTTACTACTACTTACTACTACTTACTACTACTTACTACTACGATTTACCACTATGTGACTTCTTACTACTACTACCAATACTTACCACTTACTACACTACTACTACTACTACTTCTACTACTACTAGTACTTAATACTAAGTACTTAGTAATTTTGAGTACTAGTACTGGTACTATACTACTATTACTACTACTACTACTATTACTACTACTACTAATTCTACTACTACTACTACTGCTACTGCTACTACGATACTACTACTACTATACTATATACTTACTACTATACTATCTCAATTTACTACTACCACTACTACTACTACTACTACTACTACTACTACTACTACTACTACTACTATTACTACTACTGTACTACTACTACTACTACTACTACTACTACTACTACTACTACTACTACAGCTAGTACTACTACTACTACTACTACTACTACTACTACTACTACTACTACTACTACTACCACTACTACTACTACTACTACTACTACTACTACTACTACTACTACTACTACTACTACTACTACTACTATTTGGGCGCCCGACATGGGCACCGAAAAAATGGGCACGATGCCCAACAACAAATGTTGTCCCAAAGCAACAGCGGCCGCCGTTGAGCAGCGGCCTCCTGTCTCGAATGGACACAGGCCGCGGCGGCGTGGACAGCGAGGCCTGTTCAAAATGATCAGGAACTGCTGTTGGGCATCGTACTCATTCTTTCGGTACCCATTTCGGGCGTCCAGATACTACTACTACTACTACTACTACTACTACTACTACTACTACTACTACTACTACGACGACTACTACTACAGCCAAACCCTATCGTTCGCCCGCGGCCATCAAGCAAGGCAAGCGGATGAGATGCAACGTTATGATCGTAGAGAGATGAGTGATGATGGGTGACGACGATAATGCAATGAACGATTTTCTCCCTGCAAGAGTTGCGGCATTTCCCCTCGCGCGGACGCAACGCTTGGCCTGTCCCTTCTATGCGCCAGTGGCCGAGTTAGGGCGAGTCGATCAGCCACGAGCTGCAGCTCGAGACATCAAAGGCGTCCTTGGGCGACAGATTGATGTCGCCGCGGGACAAAGCAATCCTGTACAAGCTCAGCGCGGTCAACACTGAGTTCAAGCCTGCGTTGCGGAGCAGGGCCGCCGACGCCAAGGCTTGGACATTCTTCTTGCAGGTTGCTGGTGAGGTGTTGCGGCCGACATTCCCCAGCCTGCGCATTGTGTTCTTCAGGTGGCCTGTGGTACCTTCTGCTGCATTATCACCTGCTGATAATGTAGAGTAGAGCGCGGTCTCCCTGACGGAGGGATTCTTGCCCTTCGTGTGCGCCCTCAGCATTCGGGTGGTCTTGCTGTCCAATTTGGACTTGAGCAACCTGGGCGCAGGCGTGGATATTTTCCTTTGGTGGTTCACGCCCTTCAAGACCTGGCGCCCAGCGGCTTCGGCCGCGCCGTGGAAGGCCTTGCCGCCGTCTGGCGCGGCCACGGTGCCCTTCCCCAGCGCCTTCTTCAACGGGCCTTCCACTTCAGCCCTGGTCTCTGGGCCGCCGCCGCCTCTGCCTTTCTTCGTCTCTCTGTCCTGGAGCGCGCGCGCTGTCCATTGTTTCTTGTAACGCCCCTTCAGAACGAGAGTGCGCCCCTGGTGTATCCGCGTGGAAGCCGACGATCCTCTCTTCCGCGAGCCAGTGCGGCACGTGTCAGGCTCGACCACGTCATCCTCGAACGTCGTGGATTGAGCCCGACGTACTTCCGAGTATGCCATCGCAATCTTGTGTTTGTTGAAGAACTGGGCCACCTTGTTCTCTGTGGACCTGACGCTCTCGTCTTCGCGCCGGACGTAATGAATGCAGGAGTCGTTAGGGGTCTTGCAACCAAGCGCATAAGCCGTGCGCAAGCACATGACGTAGTCGACGCCCCATCCAGAGCTCGCGTGGCCCGCGAGCGGGGTGAACGCCACATCTGGCCTGTAGACGCGAGGCCTGATCTTGCACCCCTTCCCATGGCAGCGGAAGACGCCCTCCGAGCTCACAATCGGGCTCTTGCAGGACCAGCAGGCAAACTCAAGTTCATCGCCAGGTTGTGGAAGAACGCCTGCGTCCTCGAGATACTTCTTGGCCCGTTTCTGGCTGAGCGACAAGATGCTTTCGTGGGCGGGCTGCTCCAACCTAGTGAGGCCCACGTTGTGTTGGGCGCCTGTTGGCTCTGTTCCGCTGTAAGACAACCCGCGCTTGTCCTTGCGCGCCCTGTTCTCACTTACTTTGATGCCATGCGGTGCGGCTGGCTTGGCTGTCGCCGCAGCGGGTCGCCTGCGCGGTATCTTCGCTTTGGAAGCAAGCTTGGGCATGGGCGCGGGGCGGGCGCGGCGCGACCGCCGCAACTGGCGACCTCAAATTTGCAGTCTAATGGCTGTGGCGCATCGGAAAAATGAAAGGTCTATCGAAACGGCTGCGGCCTGCCCTTCAAGCCAAATGCTACGGCAAATAATGATTCAACGTGTCCTAAATCAAGACTTGCTTCTCTGTCATTCGAAACGATTAATACAATGGAACCGCCTGGGCAAAACCGATCTCGCCGAGAGCAACAGCTTTGATTCCGCAATGACAACACAGCTGCGCAAAGGCTTGCGCGCGCGCGCCGTGCCTCAGATGCGAATGTTTGTTGTATGATCCTCAACAAATCTAATGGTGTTCGTATCTTGTCGGTTCCTCTGCGAGGCGCAGTTTACCCTGCAAGCAGGCGCCCCCCGCACTCACGTGCATCCGAAGCTGTAGTTCTCACGCGCGGCCGCCGCCCCCACTTGCGCCGCTTCCCCCTTCGGCTGGCTGCGACGGGGCCAGCGGGGAAGAGGGCGTCTTCTTGTTAAGCTTGCGACGACAGGAGGGCACGCTGAAGTCCGAGGTGAACCTGCTCCGCTTTGTACTGTTAGCCGCCACTGCCACGGGGGGCGCCTGCACTCGCGGCGTCGGATCCTCCGACGCTAACGTATTAGGAATGAAGTTGTCGAACATAGCGGCGGGGCTCGGTTGGAAGTGCTTCTTGAGCTCCTCGTTCGCGTCGCGGATGTAGTCAGCCGACCGCGTGTGCAAGTTGTACTTCGCGAGGGCCGCGTCGATCATGTTCTGCTCCTGCCCATTGCGGGTCTGCAAATCTGGCGGCAAAGTGTGGGCGCCCTTTTTGAATGTGTTGAGAAACGGCTTGTTCGCCTCCCGCAGCCAATCGTTTGCGATATCATCGTCTGTGAAGCGGAACACGGGCGCATCTTCGCCCTTGCTAAGCTGCCTCAAGATAAAGCCATGCTTGCCGCCAACACCCACGATGGACCTCTTCAAGATAGCCATGACGTGAGCTTTGGACGCGCCCGCGAATGCAGTCCGCATCATCTTGTAAAACGAATTGAACGGTATCTCGTGACCAACTTCTGGTGAAGGCCCGTCCTCCTCGTTGACGGCGTTGTCTGCGATGCCCCTCATTTGATTCTGGCGGAACTTGCAATCGTTGTAGCGCGCGTCTGCCGCGGTGTCCTCCGCCACGTCGGGGATGTTCTTGATGGTTGATATATCTATGCTCCCAAGATCAGCGTCGTCGAGAAAGCACGCTTCCTCCTGGCCGAACTCGCGGTGGCGGAAAACGTCGAAACGCTTACCGCGGCGCCAACCTGGCCTTCCTGTAGCGCCGCGGTTGCGGACGCTGCACCTCCCAATTGCAAATGCCAGAGTGATGAACGCTGGCGTCTTTCCAAGACCAGGCCAGCCCAGGAGAACGATGCCGATCTCCAGAAGCAACGGCATGATGATGGGCACGATGGTGTCGGCGAGCACCGGCTTGAGGTCACTCGTGAGCATGGGGTAGAAATGCTGCGTTTCTGAACCCATCTTTGCTCTCGCCTTGTTGTTCACCATGAATCGAACCTTGCCCTCTGGCCATCCCATGATCGGCGTATCAGACCCTTCGCGGATGTTGTCATATATCCAGAACGTCATCTCGTTCTGGCTGTCGTCTGTCTCGGCGTGCTTATTGATGTAAGCAATGCCTGCTCTCAACTCATCTGATGGCGCGTTCCACGAGCCGCCCTCTCCGCCGCCGCCTTGTTTAGAGCGCGGCTTCAACGCAGTCCACATCGCGAACTTGCCTGTGATGCTGCGCATCATGCGGCGAACAACCTTCTTCGCCTTCCACGGGCCTGGGCGGTGCACGCACGCCTTCGCCGCGCCCGCGCACGCGGCGCGAACCTCGGACACGGGCGCCGGCGACTCGAAGAGAATGGTCTTGATGATGGTCATGGTGTCGTCGGCCTTGTACTGCGCCAGGGCATTTACCTTGCAGTTCTCCGGCAGGGGCTGCTGGAAAGCGACTGCCTTGTGCAGAATTGAGGTTAACTTAATTTAAGACAGAAAGTTATGATTAAGAACTTCAAACATCGACTCTGGGTACGAATTAAGAACTACGCGTTTGGAAATAAACCAAGGCGAGAGAGGACAGGTTCAGCCTGCGGCAAACTGGCGTAATTCTTCGTCTGGATGGCTCTGACGATGTCGGACCACTCCTGTTCCGGGACGTTCTCCTGAACATCGAACAACGCCCAGACTGTGCGGACGCCGTCTACGGGGCGGAGCGCCGCGGCCATGAAGTCGGCCATCTCGATCTGGCCATCGTGAACTTCCCCGACTGCGGGCTCGCGGTCGTTCACGACGTAGTTGTAGTCAGAAACGGCCTCTCCCATATCGTCGAAGAGGTCTGGCATTGCCTGAGGTCGCGACGTCGGGGGGGGGGGCACTGCGACAGCGAACGCGCGGGCGCTGACAGAGGAACTAACTCCTGAATTTGAGCCACTGCTACGGCAAGCTCTACTCGCACGCGCATTGCTACGCATGGGAGCACGGAAGGGCCAACGCAAGGAGAAGCACCGCTGGGGCGGTAGGTAAGATGCAAAACCCAAGCGGTAATGTAACTGCACGGATGCAAGCTGGAATGCAAGACCCAGGCAAGGTAACAACATGCAAGGCTGCAGGGTGACATGGAAAACCTTTGCACGGGAGACACCACAGGGGCTGTAGAGACGATAGCGATTTCGTTCGGTCCACGGAGCTTAATAGCCGACGCAGCAGCTGAGTGGCAGAGTGCAATATCCTGCGCGGGAGCGATCCGAGTCTTGCAGGGGCTTTAAACATTCTTCCAGACAAAATGGGCGCTGCCTTGAGCTGTCATGACGGACGGCCGCCCACCCCCCTTCACCCTTGGGTCCTGCCCGCTGCCCACCTCTGCCTCCTCCACCCCTGTCGCTCGGAGTCGCAGGAAAAATGCACTGAACAACGGTCCGAATGCACTGGTGCCCAAATCGCAGACTCAGGCGCCGTCCTTCTCTCTGAGCTCTAAGCCGCCCCTGCCTGAGCCTCCAGCTTCAGGCGCTTCACCTCCCTCTCCAAGGTGTCGTTCGCCTCCGAGAGCTCCTCGTGGCTCTCCAGAAGCTGGTCGTTCTCTTCCTGGAGCTTCTGCTTGTCGGCCTCGAGCTCCTCGGTCTGGTTTCGTAGATGCCAGCTCTCCAGGCGGAGCTCTGGCTCGAGCGCCCGAGAAGCCTCCAGCTGTTCTTTCAGGGCCTTGTAGTGCTCAGGCGGCTGCTCGCTCTCCTCGTTTTCGCTATCGTCGCTCTTCTCCTGGTCGGTGTTTGGCTGCGCCTCGCTGTCCTTGCCCTCGTCGCCTCCTGGCTCCTCGCTCTTCTCCTCGTCGGTTTTTGGCTGCGCCTCGCTGTCCTTGCCCTCGTCCTCCTCAAGGGGCGCGTCGGTATCCTTGTCCTGGTCGGCGTCTGTGGTCGAGCTGCTGCTCTCGTCCTCGCTGCTGTTCGCCTCGCTGTTCTGCTCGTCGTTGCCCTGCGGCGCCTCGTTGCCTTGTGGGGGCGCCGGGAGCGCCAGCAGCGCTGGCGGCGGTGGCGGCGGTGGCGGCGGCGGCGCCACCGGCGGCGCGAGCGGCGCTGGAAACGTCGGCTGGCGCCTGCGCTTGGGGCGCGAAAGAGCGTCGAAGAGCCGGTGCCGCGCTGCCTCTGACCACTCGCCGCTCTGCTCCGTGGGCATGTACAACGCCCTCTGAACGTTGCCAATGATTCCGCACACGTCCCTGTTCAGCAGTGGAAGACGAGAAGGGTGCACGACGACGCCTTCCGAGGCCAGCCTGGCGCGCGCTGCGTCCGCAGTGGGAGGCTGGAGACGCTGCGCGCGTGGACCGCCCATTGCGTCGTCGATCTGTAGCTCCAGCCGAGCGCGCCCGCCGACGACCTGGGCCCATCCTTGCCGAATTGAGTACATTGGTTTGGAGTTATCGACTGGCGCACAAGTATAGTTCTTGAGCCAATGTGCTTACGGAAAGCAACTACATGTTGGAGATTTCCTCAAAACTGCTCCTCGTCATCTTCCTTCTCATGTGCCCTGCCTCCTCCCCATCCTCCTCCCCCCATCTCCCTTATCATCCTCCCTCCTCCTTCTCCCTCCTCCTCCTCCTCCCTCCTCCTCCTCACTCCTCCTCCTCCCTCCTCCTCCTCTGTCCTCCTCCTCGTTCTTCTCCTCCCTCCTTCCTCCTCCTCTCTTCCTCCCTCTCTCCTCCCTCCTCCCCTCCCCCCCCCGCCCAGTAGTTTCAAAACGTTTTGAAACTGGCCTCAGGCAGAGCGGTTTGAAGATTGAAGATTGGAGATCGCAGCATACTTATGCCACGGAATCTTCAAACGCAGCGTGATCGTGTCAGGGGCGCCGGATGAGGCTTCTCCTCACTCCTCCTCCTCTCTCCTCCTCCTCCGTCCTCCTCCTCGCTGCTTCTCCGTCGCCCGGAGGTCGTGGATCCCTGTGTTCCTGCGCGCGGGCGTGCACGCGCAGATAGTTTTAGCCTCGGGAGTGCCAGTGCGCTGCACACCTTGCGGTTCCCAAGTGCGGCGGCCGCGAGGCCGCGTGGGAAGGGTTAAGAAGAGCTGGCAGAGCTTAGCACGCCGTAGGGGATGCGACGTTCCTCCTCCCTCCTCCCTCCTTCCTCCTCCTCTTTCCCTCTCTCCTCCCTCCTCATCCAACACCCCCCCAGTTGTTTTAAAACGTTTTAAAACTGGCCCCCCGCTGCCTGTTTGAAGATTGAAGATTGAAGATCTGAGCAGACTTATTGCCCACATGTTCAAACAGAGCCGCCCAAGACGTCTACCCTACACGCACGCGCTTGAAGAAAGATGAACATAAACGCCTAGGAATCTTCAGTCTTCAATCTTCAAACAGAGCCGCCCACGACGTCTACCCTACACACAGGCGCTTGAATAATCACAAACATAAGTGCCCAGAAATCTTCAATCTTCAATCTTCAAACAGAGCCGCCCAAGACGTCTACCCTACACACAGGCGCTTGAAGAATCACAAACATAAGTGCCCAGGAATCTTCAATCTTCAATCTTCAAACAGAGCTGCCACAGACAAGTTTCAAAACGTTTTAAAACAGCTGGGGTCAATGCAGGGTTTTTGTGATTAGTATGTCTCTTTGTTCTCCTGAGTGGCCGCGGGCGAACGATAGGGTTTGTGGGTACTACTACTACTACTACGACTACTACTACTATTACTACTACTACTACTACTACTACTTCTACTACTACTACTACTACTACTACTACTACTACTACTACTACTACTACTACTACTACTACTACTACTACTACTACTACTACTACTACTACTACTACTACTACTACACTACTACGACTACGACTACTACGACTACACTACGACTACGACTACGACTACGACTACGACTACGACTACGACTACGACTACGACTTACTACTACTACTACTACTACTACTACTACTACTACCTACACTACTACTACTACTACTACTACGACGACTACTACTACTACTACTACTACTACTACTACTACTACTACTCCTACTACTATACTACTACTACTACTACTACTACTACTACCACTACTACTACTACTACTACTACTACTACTACTATACTACTACTACTACTACTACTACTACTACTACTACTACTACTACTACTACTACTACTACTACTACTACTACTACTACTACTACTACTACTACTACTACTACTACTACTACTACTACTACTACTACTACTACTACTACTACTACTACTACTACTACTACTACTACTACTACTACTACTACCACTACTACTACCACTACTACTACCACTGCTACTACTCCTACCACCACCAGTACGCGCCAGCACCCAGTTGCGCAAGCATTGTTTCTTAGTTTGTGGGAGGGCGGAACGTGTCCGTCGTTCCTTTCAACATGGCCAGCATTGTCGTCGAAGATGCGAAATGCGTGGCGGGAATGGAACGCGGCGCACATCCCGCGCGGACTTCAATGCGGTGTCCTGGGGTATCCTCCACTCGCACTGAAATGCCCGCGCAGCCCCCAGTTGTGCCATCACTGTTTCTTATGTTGTGGGAGGGCGGGTGGGAATGGGCATGCCATGCTTGACTCGCTCGAGCTGGCTAGCTTGACCCACACCCACACCCACACCCACACCCACCCACACCAACCCACACCCACACACACCCACACACACACACACACCAAAACACACCCACACCCACACCCACACCCACACCCACACCCACACCCACACCCACACCCACACCCACACCCACACCCACACCCACATCCACACCCACACCCACACCCACACACACACCACTTTCTGGTCGTCGCGGGCTGGGCCTCGCCGCTAGCCGCTCGTCGGTCCCGCGAGCGCGCGCGCGTGGGCTGAGCAAGAAAAGGGCCCGCCGGGCCCTCACGGGGCGCAGCGGCTAGGCAAAGGGGGCAGCGGCCGCAGCGCGGGGGCGCCTGCGGCGGGGGTGCGGCAGCACTGGGGCCAGGCGAGGCTGCCAACCGGGCGGCGGGAACGGGCGTAGCGGGGCGGCAACGGGCGACGGCGCCGCCACACGAGCGGCTGCCAGGCGGCGGGCGGGTGCGCGCCGGCGGGACAGCACGGAAGCGGGCAGGGGCGGGGCAACGAGGCACCGCGACGCCGCAGCAACGCCAGCGACCAGCGCCAGTGCGGAGACCGGGACGAGCGATAGCGCGGAGAGCACAAAAGTGGTCGGTCGAGTCGACCCGCGGAGAGACCGCAGGCGCCGCAGGAGGCCAGAGGCAGAAGACCTGGCAGCGGGCGTGCCAACCGCTTCGCGGGCGACGCGCCAGCCAAGCGGCAGAGGGGAAGACCCGACGGCGCGCGCCGAAGAGAGAGCGAGCAAGCAAAGTGCCGCCGCGGCGGGTCGAGCGCGAACTGCTGCCAGGCGGGCGCCGCGGGCGCGGCGCGCGGCGCAGAAGGGGCTGGACACCACAACCGCGAAGACAAGGAGGTTGTTAGGGGAACGAACCATGACATAAACATAAAAAAACTTGGAGGCGCGCGGATCCGAGAAATCCGCGCGGGCCTCCGAGTTGTTATGTTTATGTCGTTGTTCGTTGCCCTAGTTTTGCTGAAAAGGCGGAGGGCGCACCGCGCTGAGGCGGCGCGGCTGGGAGCGGCGGGCGACGAGCACGGCGAGGGCGTCGCCAGCGGTCAGCGGGCCGCAAAGGAGCGGGCGGAACCCAGCAGCGAAAACCCTGGCTGCATGGGGGGGAAGGCAGACTGACGCGCCGAGGCGAAGCGGCGCGCCATGGCCTCGGACGGTGATCCTCTCGGCAAGGCCGTATTTGGCGATCCGCCGGACGCACGCACGCACACAACATCAGACACCTAT